TTTCCATGGCTGGATTTCTTTCCATGTCAGGAGCGACTTGAGAAACTGCAAGTCGCTTCTGATGTGAGAGAATTGACCATCTACAAGAATGTTGCCCAGGAGATGCCCAGATGTTTTACCATCCTGTGGGAAGCTTCTCTCATGATCCTGTATGAGAAGCTAGAGCTGACAGATGGGAGCTCACTCTGCTCCCCGGATTCAAACTGCCTTTCGGTCAGCAGTCCTGCCGGAATAAGGGCTGAATGAAACCTTGGTTTCCAAAGTCATAGTCCAAAGTTATAGTGTTTTGGACCCCAGCTCCCACAATTCCTAACAGCTGGTAAGATGAATGGGATTCCTGGGAGCTGAAGTCCAAAATACCTCAAGGAGCAGAGTTTGAGAAACACTGCTCTAATCAATATATCTGTGTATGAAAATTCTGAATAATTTAGATAACTCTGAGCCATCATATATAAATCTCACTATTTGAGGCAGATGTTGTCCCACAGCTGCAAGAAGATTTACTGGGAAATAGCTGGTCTAAAATTTCTTGCCGCAAAGCTACAAACCATTCTGGAATTTGCCATTTGAAGTGCAAGAGAGTTTAAGGACAATGCTTTTTAAAGCTTCCCTGCTAGGAGAAAATGAAATCCATACAGCTGTTGTCTTCAGACCCAAACCAACTGAATACTGAAACCAGTCACAGCAAAGCAGTGGATTACCACATGGTGTGGAAACATCCTGCTAAATCCTCAGCAAAGCAATTATTCAGTCAGTTCCTCTCCATATGCCTTTGTTACTTCTGTTTTATCTCTGTATGAATAAACAGATGGCCAACATCCTCTCATTCCGCTGTGTGTTTAACTCCAACTTTTAGCTGTAGTTGCAAAAAAATCAGTGGAAAAACTGAATAACTCTACCCACATCTAGACTAGTTTGCTTTTGCATTTAGAAATATAATTTGACATGTAATCAGCCATTTTGTCTCTGCAATTAGCAGCTGTCTATACTTAAAAGGATAATGGCATGTTCATAATCTCTTGGTATTGTTACTGGACAAATCTTGCTGAAAAAACCCCTGTGATAGTCATTATAGGTCAGAAACAACTTGGAGGCACACAACAACAACAACAAATAGTTAAAGATTCAAGCATACTATGTATGGAGCAACAACTTTCAAACACTTCTAATTAGTTTGAAATTCTAAATATTACCAAAACTTAAGCAAGGGATTTGCTCAGATGTGTAAAGGGATATGCAAGATGAGGCCTTTGATCCTCTGGGCAATATATAATGTTATTTGGGGTGAGCTGTAATGCACTCCTTTGCAATTCTTTAGTACAGTGATTCCCAACCTGTGGTCCATGGACCACCAGTGGTCCGCAAGAATGAAAATATGGTCCGCAGCCTCACCATCTCTACGCTGTTGCAGCAACAGCAATGGGGATGTCTGGAAAAGAGAGGCTGGCTACCCATGAAAGATCACTACTACCACATCAGCTCTAGATCATTAAATATGTTTTTCGCTGGGCAAGCAGATGGTGACTACTGGGTGGCATATGTTCTGTATCAGAAACTAGAGCTGATGGGGGTCTATCCAATGCAATTTTCTGAATCAGCACCCCAAATAACTAAACCAAATCTAAAGTTGACCAAAAACTGATTCATAACCCCTTTGTTACTAATGTTGGAGAGTGGTCTCTGGTCAAAGTGGTCCCTAGTCAAAAAAAAAAGGTTGGGAACCACTGTGCTAAAGCAAATCCCACTGTACCTTAGTTGATATCTAATATGGTTTTGATTGTTCAAGGCATGGCATCAAGGCAGTTGGTAAGATTTCCTTGTTGCTTATCTCCAATGTCTGTTGTAAGGTAAACTATATGGATATACAGAGGGCTGTTTCAGATTACATCCTTGTGCTAAAGCACTGGTTCCCAACCTGTGGTCTGTGGACAACCAGCGGTCTGCAAGAATAAAAATATGGTTCACAGCCTCACCATTTCTACACTGTTTCCTCAAAACCATGCGGCAACGAGAGTGACTGGTCTCTTGAAACCCTCTGATAGTGCCAAGGCAACAGAGATATTGGGAGGGGAGAGGCTGACTACTCACGAAAGATTACTACTACCACATCAACTGTAGATTATTAAATAATTAAATTGTGGGTGAGCAGATAGCGACTATTGGATGGCATATGTTCTGTATCAGAAACTAGAGCTGATGGGGGTCTATCCAATGCAAATAACGAATCCCAATCTAAAGTTGACCAAAAACCGATTCGTAACCCTTTTGGGATTAATGTTGGAGAGTGGTCCCTGATCAAAGTGGTCCCTGTACAAATGGTCCCTGGTCAAAGTGGTCCCTGGTCAAAAAAAAGTTGGGAACCACAGCTTTAGTATGTTACTCACATAGTAGTAGGTTTTTCAACAATGTAAGCTAAATATTTTCTCAGAGCCATTCCCCATTTCTTTTCCTTTTGGATTCTCTTTCTTGTGCTTTCTTCCTATCTGTCTCATTCTGTACCACTGTACCTCTTACTTCAGTGGGTCTAGTAATCACACACTTTCAACAGTTTGGTGAGGTTGGAGCTTGATGCAGAAAGATTAAGCTATCAAAATTCATGTCCCACTATTCCTTTTAATGTATTTTGTTAAACAAATCTATCCAGAATTAGGTCTTCTGTGTTCATCTTAATTTGACTAGATACGTAGGTTAGAAATCCTCCATGTTCTTCTGAGAAACCTGTTTTCTGGCAGGTAGTCAACAAAAAATCCTAATGTCTCTAAACTACAGTGGACCCCTGTTATCTGCTCAGTTTGGTTCCAATACCCCCCACCCACCCCCATGAATACAGAAGTCCATGGATACTCAACTCCCATTACATGTAATGGTGTAGTAAAATGGTGCCCCTCATTTTTTGAGAGAGAGGGGAATAATTTCAAGCGGTAAATGGTTGAATCTGTGCATATGAAGAAGTGTCTGTATATTCCTTTCCTTTACATACTTCAGCCAGCCAGTTTTTAGAACCAGAATTCAATTATTCAGAATAAATGATTATGAATATATTATTTCATTGGCTTCACAAATGGAAGGTTAAGGGATTTAATCAAGCAAGTATTAAAGTAAGATACATGCTGAGAATAATGCAATTTTTAGAAGTGTGACCTTATAAAACAGAGATGTCACAATTTGAATTTGGGATTCCTGTCTTGTGCATGCAGAATATGTGCCATACCATTGATCTTTGCAGACCATATTTCTTAATTGGGAATTGAGAAGCAGAACGGATTCAGTTGCACAGAAAAATGTTCTGCATTTGTTTAAAGGCTCTCAAACTAGTTCTGATTTAAGGATTCTTGATCCTTGATTCAGTGACTGATCTATGTAACTATCCACATGTTGCTGTACTTGCAGTGGATCATTTTTTTTTAAGTGAAGTAAGTCACTGGTCATTACCCTTTAATAAACAAAGCAATTGAAGAATGATTGAATTGTTCCAGTCAATGGGGGTGGAAAGGAAAAAGAGGTGCAGATGAGTGACACAATGAACAGTCTCTGGAGTATGAGATCTCATGTTTTGTGACAATTCTCTTCTACTTGACAATTAGCAGTTGTTTTAGACTTTCACGTTTCTCCAGCAGTACTCATATTATGGGTTTTTAATCCATCAGTGTGTGAGAGAGAATAAGGGGGGAATTCCAGGTTGGAGGCAAGTAAATCTCAAAGGTATACGGACCCTTGGACAGAAGGAAAAAATAAAATGTGCTCCCTTAAGGTCAACACTAACAATTGGCATATCATTCTCTATAAATCTTATGATTTAGTCTCACACTAACATTTGATCAATAACAGCTACGTAACCAATTATGCTACTCCCATTACAGGTTGAACATCCCCTCTCTGGAATTCCAAATTCCGAAATAATCCAAAATTGTCCACAAGGATGGCTGACAATAGTGACATTTTTGTTTTCTGATCATTCAACGTACACAATTTTGTTTCATTCACAACATTAAAATTATGAATATTTTTATATAATTACCTTCAGTCTACGTGTGTATATGAGATATAACTTATTTCTTCAGATTTGCATACCATTTCCAAGATATCTCACGATATAACCTCTGGGGAGGTGCTGTTCTCCATTTCCAAGTCGAGGAACCTGTGTTGTCACTCCTGGTCATGTGGCGTTAAGCGGTCCCTATTGATCTTCTCACATTTGCATGTTTTTGAACTGATAGATTGGCATGAGCTGGACTAACAGTGGGACCTCATCTCATCCCACGGATTCGAACTGCCAAACTTCAGGTCACCAGCTCAGCAGCACAAGGGTTTAACCCATCCCAAAATCTGGAAAAAAAATCTGAAATTCAAAACATTTCTGGCTCCAAGCATTACAGACAAGGAATAATCAACCTGTATTAATTTTTATCATAGTGAATTACATTTTTCCATTTCTAATGTTTTAAGGCATTGAATTTTCAAGTCTAACATTTCAAGCTCTGTATTTAAAAAAAACATATTGCACTTTTGGGAGTAACTGAGAGAAAGCACAAGTTTTCGTAGATTCAGTTAGCTTCATCAAATGCGTCCTAGAACCAAGTCTACAAAAGCTTGTGTTACAAATCTCTTTCAGTTACTGCCAAATATCCCTTTGTGTACTGATATAACTAAAATGGCAATGTATTTGGCTATTTCAAGCTGTGTTTCTGGTATGGGAAGCCACCCCAAACAATATGCTGCAGCCCCTCAGAAGTGAATTTTACCTATTAAATGTATTTGGGTCTCAAATCCAACTTTTTTGGAAAACTTTAAGGGGGATCCAAAGGCCTGGGTGGGAGAGGGAGACACATGATTTCAACACTTGTACTGCCAAATGAAAATTCCTTCAAATAAGGCACTGGGACCAAAAGGAAGCTTCCACATTAAGTGTGGTCCCAATGAGTGAAAGCAGAGTTTGATGTTTTGGTTAATGCTCTAGTCAACAGAAACAACTGATTCAGACTTCTCCTTTACCTATATAGGAATGCTCCCCCTATGCTGCTCACCTTTATGATGCTGAAGACCCTTCTACTCCAGAGAGGACTCTGCCAGGACTTTGTCGAGATTACTGCACACAAGTGTGGCAAAACTGCAGGTCCATGTTCCGCCATCTAACTTCTGATGAAGAATTGCTATCCCTGGAAAACAATCAGGCAAAGTTCTGCCGCTATTTGTCTTTGGATGATACTGACTACTGTTTCCCTCACTTACTTGCCAATGAAAACCTTAATCAAAACCTTGGTGTGGTGACCGCTGATTCAGAAGGATGCCTACAGTTATGCTTAATGGAGGTTGCCAATGGGCTTAGGAATCCGGTGGCCATGGTACACGCTAATGACGGGACTCACAGATTCTTCATTGCCGAGCAGGTTGGCTTAGTTTGGACCTACCTTCCAGATCGGTCACGCCTCGAAAAGCCCTTTTTGAACATCAGCGAAGCTGTTCTTACCTCACCTTGGGAAGGAGATGAGAGAGGTTTTCTAGGTATTGTCTTCCATCCTAAATTCAGATTTAATGGTAAAGTGTATGTCTACTATTCAATTGAAGTTCAGTATGAAGAGAGAATCCGAATCAGTGAGTTCAGAATTTCTTCTGGTGACATGAATTCTGTGGATCATGGTTCTGAAAGGTATTGTATGCACCTTTATCTGTCACATTTATTTAAGATATTGGAAAGCAACACATGCTCGTGAAGATAACTAATTTCAATGTGTTCTGATACCTGCATGTTGTCATATTTTCATAAAAGACAGAAAGCCGAGGTTTGGTGCACATGTGAACCAAGCAACCCTGAATATCAGAAACAGAGTCTGGATTGTTGTAGGTTTTTCGGGCTATATAGCCCAAAAAAACCATACAGCCATATAGCCCGAAAAACCTACAACAACCCAGTGATTCCAGCCATGAAAGCCTTCGACAATACAAGAAACAAAGTCATTTTTTATCCCTATGTTTAAAACATGGGCCATAAAGACTAAATACAACTTGTATTATTTAACTGCTGGAATATATGTCAGTGATGTGGTAAATCTACCCTGGGCTTTAGTCTGAACTTTAAAGGAGCTGCCTAAAGTGCTGAACCCAAAACGTTGACCTTTACAGTCTGGATTAAAACTGGGAGTGGGAGTCATGAGTGGGAACTGGGTAGCTCCCACTCATGACTCCGTTGATGTGGGAGCTACCACTATTAAGTATTGCTACTTCTTCATTTCTGGAACACTACTAGAATTCACTCATTTCCAGTCTGAAAATTGAGTCTCATAAGCTATATAATGATTTGCAGGAAACATCCTCAGTTATCATTGTCATATCTGAAGATGGTAAGGTGGACTTGAGCCAGAGGGTCAGGTAAATATAGGGATTTTTTTTTTAAAAAATGTATGATTTGAGCTCTATTTTTTTTAAAAAAAATGTTACTGTGATTAACATTTATATCATATTGTTGAAGGTTTTCATGGCTGGAATCACAGGGTTGTTGTAGGTTTTTCGGGCTGTATGGCCATGTTTCAGAAGCATTCTCTCCTGATGTTTTGCCTGCATCTATGGCAGGCATCCTCAGAAGTTGTGAGGCATTCTCAGGGGTTGTGACCTCACAACCTCTGAGGATGTCTGCCATAGATGCAGGTGAAACATCAGGAGAGAATGCTTCTAGAACATGGTCATATAGCCCGAAAAACCTACAACAACCCAACATTTCTACCTCCCCCTTTTCCAGTGAACTCAATGCAGCATACTCAGAGAAAACCTGAACTTCTATCTTCTCTAGATGTTGCTCCTAACCATCACATCACACCGGCTTTCACACTAGAGTCTCCAAAGGTCAACCCCATCCCTCGATTGCATTAGTATGTTATCCTAGAAAATCACACACAGCACTTTTTGTAGCATGTGGTTTTCTGACTTCATTTCAGACATCTGGCTGTGTTTACTAAACTGTTCTGTGTCTACAGAAAATCTTGGAAACATGCCATTTGCTTACTCCAGGGCTTTTTGTCTTTCAAGTACAAAGGCTTTGCTACAGAACTTCTTCTAGAAATCAGTGGTTAGTGTGATGGACATTGCGATCAATTTCCAGAAGAGTCAGTATGGGAAGACCTCATGATTTCAGTCAAAGTGACCCTCATAACCTTTTAAACCTTACACTGAAAGAGCTAAAAGAGACTGTCCCTGCCATATCCACAACAAGGACTGTCCAGAGTAAGGAAACATTTGCAAAGTTGTTAATGGGAATGAATAATTTGATTTATTGTCAAAGGCATTCATGGCTGGAACCACTGTGTTGTTGTGAGTTTTCCGGGCTGTATGGCCATGTTCCAGAAGCATTATCTCCTGACGTTTCACCCACATCTATGGTAGGCATTGCAAGAGGTTGTCATAGATGTGGGTGAAACATCAGGATAATTTGATTCTGTGGTCATCTGGTTACACTTTTTAAAGTGATGTTGTTATTATTTTGAACATTAGCTTATATACCACTGTGTTTTTAGTTCTTTTTTGTTGTATATTTACAGTACTGAGTGATTTTCAGGTAGCAGAATAATGTAGTGTTGGAGAAATGAACACGCAAATATCTGCTCACACCTATGATTTTTACTGTTAAGACTTCAGCTTACAGCAGGTATTGGTTCTAACACAGTCAAATGGTGATGCATATGTCAGCCGCTTCTGTAATAGCTGCATATTGTTGATCATAGGATTGGCAAGGTCATATATAAGGTTTAAAAAAAGACTTCTCTTGCAGCAATTCTGCATTTTTGAAAGTCTCTCAGGGTAAATAGGGGGCAGGGTTCATGCAAAATGCTTAGGGAGAGACTCAGAAGGTCTTTTGTGTCTCCTGTAAAATGTTCTGGGGGCACAAGGAGTAAGGTGAAAATTTGGAAGATTGTTTCTTTCCCTTTCTTTCAGCACTGGATCTTGAGGTCTTCCATAAATTGAAAGAACTGTTCATGGAAAGATCCACCTGGATGCAACTCATTGAGCCTAGTAGAGCTGGAACTGGGTTGTAGTGTACCTGGATGAATAACAACAAGCTAGTTTCCCTGGACTATGAGCAAAAATCAAATGGCAGTGCTGGAGGTTGAAGATGAACCTGACAATAGTCAATATAGATAATTTAGTAATGAGACTTATGACCATTTATTAGCTCAGAGGTGAGAAATTATTGACCCTCTAGTTAGCTTGAATTTCAACTTCCATGATTTCCAACATGACCACTTAAACATGAGGAAGAACACCCTGATGGTGAGAGCTGCTCGACAGTTGAATAGGCTGCCTTGAAATATGGTGGAAATATCTCTGGAGGTTTTTAAACAGAGGCTGGTTGGCTATCTATCAGGAGTGCTTTGTTTGTGTGTGCCTGCATGGCAGGGGACTGGAAACACAACCTCTGTGGTCTCTTCCAACTCCATGATTCTACGTATATGATTATGCAAGGTGATGTTTGAAACATATGTAAGGTGAAAGGTTTTCCATCCTGCAAGTCTGTCCCATCCTGACATACGTCTTCCGAGAGTAAGTAGGAAAAAACATTATCAAGGGATCTTCATTTCATTTTTTAACAAACAGTCTGGACTTCCATTTGGACCATGATAAATTTGTGCCAGCTGGTTTGTCTTCATATGATTGTACTTAAGAGACCTTCAAACATTTATCTCTTGATTTGAGGAGGCCACAGTAGCAAACACCATGAGAAACGCTGAATTGATTTTTGTCCCCCTGACCCACACTAACACCCCCCCCCTCACACACACACACACACACACTTAGACACAGCACTCTGGTTTGATTCACCTATGTTAGGTTTGTTGTTTTATTTTGGTGGCTTAATATTGCTAGGTGCTTGACGTTTTGGTATGCTTGTATCAGAGGCATCTAGAAACAGATGTGAATAATAAGTTTTGATTTACATGGGAATCAAAATCTTGTTCACAATTTCGAAACTTCTCGTTTCAGACAGAGCTGTCATCCTTCAGACATATCATGAGAATTTGTGACTCATTGGAAAATATTATCATGTCTGACAAAGTGGAAGGTAGTAGAATAAGAAGGACTGCAATGTTTTAATCAGGGAAGCCAGAGACCTAAGCAGGGTGGCAGATGACCCTAAGTCAAGGTCAACTGTAATAATAAATAAAATAAAAAGGTGTGACTATATGGTTGACCAGCATGGTTATTTGAATCCAGTCACTGGTACTAGATTTAGTAGATCAATTGAACCAATAGGATTTGTAGCAATTCCCTGTTAAGTATTTATACATGCAATTGCATGATGCCATCCTATCCATCGCCTGCCTCCAGAAGTCTGTGGAAGGGGAGTCCCTCCCTCTCTCTGTAGCATCTGAAGATTTTAAACACTTTAAAGATTAATGCCACTTGTGAAATAGATTGGAATTAACAATGTGACCTTGGATTCATCTGTGCAAATGTGATTTTATCACTGGCCTTCATTTTGTGGTTTGTAAAGAACATTTGTTGTACATCACCTTCTGCCTTTTTTTGCCTTCTCATGGAAAAGGAATTCAGATGATAGGGAAGCTATTAAACTTCTTTAAAAGCAGAATGGGATGCATTTGTCTCCTGCCTCTCATGGCATAAACAGAGCACATCCAAACAAGAATCAGATGGCCAGTTTAAATGCATTGTCCTTCTACTCTCTCCATGTAAGGGCCATGGCTCAGTAATACATCACAAGCTTGGATCACAAAAGCTAATCCCTGACATTTCAAGTTAAAGTGTTGAGAATCATTTCTTCTGAGGTCTGGATTGGATCTTCTGAAGAATAAGCTGATGAGGTTTGCTGGCTATAATCCCAGAGTATAGAGCTCAGATTTTCCGGAAAAATGTACAAAGCAAGGCTTCATATCTAACCCTGGATAGCTTTATTAGAGCTTTAAGCAAAAGCAAGGACAGAGCTACGTTGGAAGCATTCACAAGATTTTTTTTTACAAGGAAAAACATTCCCATATTTTTCCTGCCTTCCTTCTATGGATGTAACCATCCCTTTCATCAAATGTCTTGTCAAAAGGATGCCAGATGATTGGCCTGGCCATGTGGCCACTCAGGAGCTCCGCCAAACTTTTTGGATGTGTTCTTCCTGAGTTCTTAGTTGTACCAGCCTTTAGTTGATGAATTGGGATCCATAATATCGTCAGAAATGGGATCCAACATGGGATGAATAGCACCCTGGTGGTGGAGTGTCTTTAGAGTTCCTTCTGTTTAGCTTTGCAGAACCACCTAGAAGAGTTTATAGTGCCTGGTTTGGCAAGTGTGCAGTTGTTGCAGCTCCTACAAGAATCCATTTAGTTCAGATTCCCAGGAACCAGCATGATGTTTAGGTTTGAGGGTTGGAAACCAAAGATCAAATACCTGTTCAACCATAGAAATCCACTGGGTGATCTTGGGCAAGTCACATTCTCCCAGCCTCAAAGGAAGGCAAGCCAAGAAAACCCTGTGATAAGTCCTCCTTAGGATTGCCATAAGTCAGAAATGACTTGAAGGCACACAACAATAACAGCAACTGGAGTCTCATAGAGTTGTTTAAGATATGGTTTTGTTGTAATCCAATTGTCTTACCATTATGTTACTAGGATTCTTTTTCTTTTCTGTCTCTTCTCACCTCCAGGATAATTCTGGAGTTAGATGAACCAGCTTCTAATCACAATGGAGGAGAAGTACTCTTTGGAGATGATGGCTATCTTTATATCTTCACTGGAGATGGAGGGATGGCTGGTGACCCTTTTGGGTCATTTGGAAATGCTCAAAACAAGTAGGAGGTTTACATTTATGTCAATTTTGGGGAGGGAGCAGCTAAGCTTTTTCATATTAGTCTCAATAGCACAACATGTTCATATTACTCTCTGACGCTCAGAGATTTTCTTGTCTAGATTAATGTTAACCATGGATTATTTGTGCTCAAGGTACTTTTTAAACACATGAAATCTAATTGTTAAATTTACTGGTGTTCAGAACTGAGCTTGCTTTGCTCATTGATTGAGCCCTGCATCACTGAATCTTTTTAGTGCTAAACCACTTGTTTAAATTGGCCACATGGATGACCACAGAAAGGAAAGCTTGGGAAAGTGTCTTAATAGTCCCATTTGAAATAAGATGGTCTTGTTCCAAGTTCTGATATTTGAACATCCAGAATAAACAGACATCATCTTGGTAGCCTCACTAGAAGGCTTCATGATGGCACAGTTCAGAAGACTGAGCAAAATGAACCAATGCCTTTCCTAGGCTGATCAGTAGGGTCTCCATGTGGGAGTATGCATTTTGTACTAGCTATTCTTTATATTTAAAAAGTTTAATTTTGTTCCCCGATACTACATGTATGTCTGTTTTTATGTTTAATGTATTGTACAGATTTCTAGCCTTCCCTTGCTAGAGGATTTGGGCAAGTAACAAAATATATTAATATTTGTACAGATTCAGCATTTCTTATCCAAGATTCCAAAGTTGTCCACAGATGTGGCAAAGATTGGGATACCTTTGTGTGTAAAGTGTATAGAAAATATCAATTGGTTTGTGTTAACAGTCGGCTCCCATCTCCAAGATATCTCATTATGTACATAAATGCAAATATTGATATTCCAAAGTCTGTAAAAATCTAAAACACTTCTGGCTCCAAGCATTTTGCATAAGGGGTACTTAACCTGTATTAAGAACATGCAATTCAAAACAGACTTCAGGCTTCACTTTAGTTGAGCAGCATGCCCTCCATTTCATGTCATCTGACCTGTAGAGCAGCTGTGGGAAGGCAGTAATACTCAGAAATGTTCTCCATCTCTACTCTAGCCCATTATTGGGTAATGTGACTGATGGTTGTTCTCTCCTATATGAGGCAGAGGGTTTTTCCCAGAACTTGCTATCTCAACTTTAGAACCTGAAATTAGAACAGATTTGGGTCCACTGGATGCTAGTGTTGCCCATGTCAGTGGGATGGTGGATCTGCTCCATGTTTTACCCTGAACTATTTTGAAGCTAAGGACCAGCATCTCATATAGCACCATAAAATATGGATTAGACCCTGGAATTGATTCATTGATCCAGGGACATGGAAGCCCTATTGGTTAAGACCATGTGCTTAACCACTGAGCTATAGGTCCTTATTCCTTCTGTTCTTCTGAAATGACCTAATAAGGAATGTGGATTTTTTTTCTGTTGTGAATTTTGAGGAATTCTGTTCTGTTGCTAAATTTTGATGTTAGAAACAAAACTTTAATTGAAGTCTTGATTTTTAGAAAATATATACATATATGTTTTTATGTTAACAGGTCAACTCTGCTGGGAAAAGTGCTCCGGATCAACGTGGACAACAATGACCATGGTCCTCTATATCAAATCCCACCTGACAACCCTTTTATCAACGAGCCACAAGCCCGCCCTGAAGTCTATGCTTATGGGGCAAGGAATATGTGGCGCTGCTCTTTCGATAGGGGTGACCCCTACACAAAGGAAGGAAAAGGGCGACTTTTCTGCGGTGACGTGGGGCAGAATAAATTTGAGGAAATTGACATCGTGGAAAAAGGGAAAAATTATGGCTGGAGAGCAAGAGAGGGTTTCAGCTGTTATGACAAAAAGCTTTGCATGAATTCCTCACTAGGTAATTTGGGATTCTGAGTAATGGAACTGCTTAGGCAATTGTTTTGGTGCCAATACTTCCATTATTATCTTCAGCCCTTGGCAACTCTTGTTTGCTTCTGAGCATCTATTGTGGGCTTAGAACCAGATGATTTGTGACTTACAAAGCTTAATGCAACCCTACTAGTCATATTTTGGGGTTGTGGCACCAGGACTCATTACATCTCCTGTTCTTGTTGCCTGCCTGGAACTGCAAAAACAAGATGCCAACAACCCTGCAGAACAGCATGAGTGTTATAATAGGCAGCATCCGCAGGATTGCAAATTGTAGACTTATTACAGATTTTCCAGTCATAGTTACAGGCTGGAGGTAAAACTGAATTGCTGAATCTGTCAAAGTGGAGTTGCTGCTTTTCGAATTAAGCAAGGATTAAGAAGTGGAAAATGAAGCAGAGTTCTTACGTTGTTGCTGTTTCATTTCTTAGCCAACTATGCAGCTAATTATGCTCCTGAGCGCCAGATGTGCATAGTGGTCACTTTATGGATTGGATAAATATGCAGAAGGAGTAAACTCAACTCTGATGCATAAACCATTATTCAATGAAAATACCATTCCTAAACACATTTCAAGGCTATGTGTTACTTCTTTCCACCATTAATGTTGGACTAGGACGTTGGGAGACCACAGTTCGAATCTCCACTCAGCCAGGCAAACCCACTGAGTGACCTTGGGCAAATTAAACTCTCTCAGCCTCAGAGGAAGGCAAGGGCAAACCCTTCTGAGCAAATTCTGCCAAGAAAACCTCATGATAGTTTGAGTTGCAGCAAGACAGAAATGACTTGAAGGCACACAAAAACAACAACAACAACAACAACAACAACTTTCATGGTTGACATTATCTTTATCATAATAACTAAAGAAAATTATTCATGTTCTTGTGCTTGGAATTAATTCTCTGACATCACTGAGATTTGTGTCAGTGGCATCGGCCGCACAGCAAGGCAGGAACAGATCGATCACAGACACCTTGGGCTATGAACTACTTTATTTTACAGCTATATACATTACAAGCTACTTAACACTCAGCACATCGTAAACTTGCTCCTTTCCCATCCGATTGTAACATTGTGAACACACGAGCACTGTTATCAGTACTAGTCCACACCTCCTGCATTCCAGAGTGACGTATGACGTAAGATGCATGACGCTGCATCCATTTGTTCTATACACTTGATTTATGACCTCTCTAGGAATGTTCCCTCCATGGTTCAGTTAACTCTTTCCACACAGGAATACACTCAGCACGTAGCTACTGCATTTTAAACATACATACATACTTTGAAATCTACATTATAAATTGCAAACAGCTCCAACAATTTGAATTCTAAGAGTGCTTTCTATCAGTCTTAAGTAGGGCAATAAAACATAGTTTATCTAAAGTATTAATCCCATGCATAGATTAGTCATTCCACTTACTTATTGAAAACTACTGTCTTTTATTTTTTTGAAATAACAACAACAACCATGGTTGACATGATCTTTACCATAATAACTAAAGGAAACTATTGATGTACTTGTGCTTGGAATTAATCCTCTGACATCACTGGGATTAAAATTCTAAGAGTGTTTTCTATCAGTCTTAAGTAGGGCAATAAAACATAGTATATCCAAAGTATTAATCCCATGCATAGATTAGTCATTCTCCTTACTTATTGAAAGCTGCCTTCTATTTTTCTGAAGGCATCACAATTCCATTTTTTCAAGTTGTCATCACCTGTGCTCAGTACATGAAGTGGCTGGTTAAATTTTGGGTTAAGTCAATAGAGAAAGGTGTGAAGTCTAGACTTCAGATCAAGCTGCCAGCGTACAAGTCTAGACTGCTGAGACCTCAGTAAGGCTCACAGGGAATGACACTTGCAATGTGATAAGTCTTCTCACCTGGCAGTTAGACTTGATCCTAACAGTTCTGGGTTCAAATTCCATGATAGATGCAAGTGAATGGTTTTGGGAGAATCTCAAAAACAGTTTTCCATCTATACAATGAAAAGTCCCCCCTGGCTGAACCTTCCTGACTGCCCCTATCAGTTTATCACACTAGGAAAAAAAATTAACTTAAAATTGTTTCTGCCTCCTGCAGGATTCTGAAGTTTGCAGTTTAGTGAGGCTGTTAAAGGCTCTTCCCTAAAACTACAAACTCCAGAATTCTGCAGGGACATAGAGAAGGAAAGGAGGAGGGAGAAAAAGGAGGAGGAGGAGGAGGAGGAAGCCTGTTCTCCCTTTTGGCCTATGGCAGGAAACAAGGAGCCAGGCGGACAGTGATGAGATGGGGATGCTGCAGTCAGAGGTGCAGAGGAGTCCAAAAAACCCTCTCCAAGTAAATACCGCACCTCCCTTGAGGGTCATGACCCACCGTTTGAGAACCATTGGTGTAAACAGCATTCATTTGTTTAAATGCCATCTCTATAAACAGTTGAGCTATTCAGATTGTAAAGCAGCTGCTTGGGATCTTATTGAAGAGTACCTTCCCTTCTCTTCTGCAGATGATGTGCTCCCGATATATGCTTACCCACACAAAATGGGGAAATCGGTTACAGGCGGATATGTCTATCGAGGATGTGAGTTTCCTAACCTAAATGGGCTGTACATATTTGGTGATTTTATGAGTGGGTAAGTGATAGCAACTTTGCCAATAATAGAGCAAAAAAATAAATTCAGCTACAATCCTTATGTGTATACTGAGGGCCTTTCCACATCGCCATATAACTCAGAATATAAAGGTAGACAACCCACAATATCTTTTTAGAAACTGGATTATTTGATTCCACATTGCCATATAATCTAGTTCTAGTTATACAGCTGTGTGGCGGGACCTATCATTGGACAGCAAGAGTTGTTATTGGAAGTTTTTAAATCAAAGATAGCTGTCCACCTAACAGGATGCTTTAGCTTTGAATTCCTACACTACAATCCAAGGACTAGATGAACCTTGGATTCTTTCCAATTTGATGTTTCTGTAATTTTATGATGGTATGAGTTCCTAAATAATCTGGCTCAGGAATGTGTTCCAGTGATTCGTTTCTGTGCCAAATAAAGACAAATGCTTTGTACACCAAGTGGAAATTGTGTGGTTCGCTATGTGTTGTAAGAGTGCAACTCACAGCCTTTCTCACCACTGATAGTGCTGATTGGGGCTACTGGGAGATACAATCCAGCAAGATCTGGAGAGTTGCACACGCCCCACCCTCAATCCCCAAATGATTGTTGAAGACACCAGATGTTCCTGAGGAGAGAACAGAACATTTGTGCTAATGATGGGAGACGAGGTGTGAAAAGTATTCTCCTTAGCTGTTTGATTTGAGTAAGCTGTTGTTGCTTTTCTTTTTCTTTCTGCCTTGCAGGCGCCTCATGTCTTTGAAAGAGAACCGTGCAACCGGGGAATGGCAGTACAATGAAATATGCATGGGAAAAGGTCAAACTTGCATGTTTCCTGGATTTATCAATAATTACTATCAATACATCATCTCTTTTGCTGAAGATGAGGCAGGTAATATATGTGTCTGATATTGTGTGTGTGTTGGATTTGCATAAGATCCTTTTTCTCATAGGTGATATACATTGTTTCCTTTCAAAACCAGACACTCTGCCTATATCCCTCCCTCCCTCCCTTTATTTATGTCTTATCTTTTCTCCAGATTGGGACTTAGGGCAGCTCGCAAATGACAAAATTAGAATAAAACACATATACACTGCACCAAATGGAGTAGATACCATTATCTCAGGTACCTATGTGGACAATTTTGGAGTATTCTGGATCTTGGAATTCCAGAGAAGGGATATTTACCCTGTATTAAATTAAAAACAGAATTTAAACCAAGATTAGAAATAGTATAGAACCATAGAAAGCCCTGCACCTATAAACAATCAATCCAACCCTCTTCCCTTATTAACAATCAATTCCAAAAGGTTTTTTGAAAGGGAAAGGTCTTCACTTTCGAACTTTCCTAGAGTGGGATTTCCAGAGCCTAGAAGCAGTCACCAAAAAAGGTATTGTCTTCCCACCAAACATGCCTGTGAAGCTAGTGAGATAGAAGTGCTTCCTCTGAATATCTTAGCACTCAAAAATGTGAGAGCTTAATAATAATAATAATAATAATAATAATAATAATAATAATAATAGAAACAAAGTATGGATTGTCGATGTTGCAATCCCAGGCGACAGCAGGATTGAAGAGAAACAACTGGAAAAGCTGTCACAATATGAGGATTTAAAGATTGAACTGCAAAGACTCTGGCACAAGCCAGTCAAGGTGGTCCCAGTGGTAATCAGCACACTGGGTGCAGTTCCTAAAGACCTTGGCCTGCACTTAAACACAATTGGTGCTGACAAAATTACCATCTGCCAGCTGCAGAAGGCCACCTTACTGGGATCTGCACACATTATTTGCCAATACATCACACAGTCCTAAACATTTGGGAAGTGTCTGACATGTGATCCAATACAACAGCCAGCAGAGTGTCTGCTGTGGACTTATCTTGTTGTGTTTCAAATAATAATAATAATCATTATTTGTATCCCACCACCATTTCCCAAAAAGGGACTCAGGGCTGCTAACAAGGCACTGCAAGTGCAGTATAAAACAATATCACATAAAAGTTATAAACAACCATGATCAACACATAAAATAAAATAAAATACGCTATTTAGAAACACTTTCTATCAATAGTTAAAACTAGCTGCCATCGATACACAACTAAAGTGCCAAAGTGTTAACTTAATATAGGCCCATTTCAGCCTGCTTGAGGACAAAGACCTGTTTAATAATCTATGTTTTTAGACAGGTATGGGAAGATAAGATCTTTCAAACAGCTTATTAAAACCTGAGCCCAGGGCCTCAATAAAAAGTCCCATGGATTCACCCCACATCAATGCGAATCCATGAGCTACCGGCAGGGGCTGTGGAGAAGCTGCTGCTCCATGCCCTGCCTCACCTGCCTTACCTTGCCCCTCATCCTATGGAGGAAGCATCACCACCTGACTTCCTCCCATTTCTGAGAAAGCAACACAGGAAGGCTTCAATGTTGCTGTGGCAGCGGCGTGTACCATTTCCTCTCCCTTTTGGCATGGAGCCCGATTAGAAGTTCATTGTGTGAAGGACTTCATGCTGAAAATGGAGGAGAAGCAGCATACAACGGGCAAATTGGCCCATCTGATGAGGTAGTAAAACTGCCAAGGCTTACTATTTGGCTCTTCAAACATTTTCCCATCACCTCTTTCCAAGAGTTTTTTTTTTGTTACTGCTCAGGGAAGTTGTCATCAATAGCCATCACACTATAAGAAAAAATCCACTTAAAATCCAGTTTCTGCCTCCTGCAGATTTCGGGGATTTGTAGTTTAGGGAGGAACCTTTAACAGACCAAACTACAACCCCAGAATTTTGCAGGAGGCAGAAGCTGGATTTTAAGTGGATTTTTTTCTCTAGTATGATAAAATAGCCAGTCAGCCACTAAGATCCCAGTGGGTAAAGCTCAGTAGCCAAACCCATGGTTTTCATACAGAAAGTCACAGGTTTTGTCACTTGCATTTTAAGGTGGGGACTAGGGCGGTTTGTTCCTCCTACTCTTTAAACAGTTACCACAAACTCACATATTTCTTCATAAATTTGAAAGAAGAAATTTGAGATATATAAAAAGTGAACAAACTAATTTGATAGTTATTTGCCCATGCATGCAAGGGCTTGGCATTCTAGCTATTTATTTATTCATTTATTTACCATATTTATATACCGCCTCTCTCAACCCGACGGTGACTCAAGGCGGTTTGCAGTTGGCAATTAATGCCCCCAACAACATAAGATATAGTTAAAAACATTAAGATATAATATAGATCATATAAAAGCAGTAGAACAATAAAAACCATAAAACACAAGTCCTCAACGTCTCATCACTAAAATCATTTTTCCGTCGCATCGTCCAATTGTTCCGTGGATCTAAATTAATCTGTTACACTGCATCTGCAAATGCTTGCTCAAAAAGCCAGGTTTTAACTCTCTTTCGAAATGTTAGGAGGGAGCGGGGCAATCTGATATCCCTAGAGAGGGCATTCCATACCCGAGGGGCCACTGCTGAGAAGGCCCTGTCTCTCATCCCCACCAATCGCATCTGCGAAGGAGGTGGGACCGAGAGCAGGGGTTCCCCAGGCAATCTTAAGTGCCTAGCTGGTTTATAGGGAGAGATGAGTTCGGACAGGTAAACTGGGCCGGAACCGTTTAAGGTCTGAGTTTGTATCCTCTCTGTACTAAATTTGGTAGGGGCACCAAAATAGAGTGGTAACTGTTATCCAGAGGTGTTCATCACAGCATGCTAGGAGACCTTTACCTGTTGAATTTAGTCAGGTTGGGAAGTTCATTCTGTTCATTTTTAGTAAGGCCTTTCCAAACTGTGCCTTTGAGTAGTGTGGTTGAAATTTGATCTTAATCATAAGGAGGAATTGGAATAAGCAGGACTGTTTATCCATGGACTTTAAAGTACAGATGTTCTATATTATTTTCTTCCTTCCTTTGATAAGCCTGATGATTTGTCCCTTTCCTGTGGCTGATGCTGGCATGTAATTCTGAAACATCCCTGGTTTTGCTTTGTTCGTTTTACCTTACCTATGAAATTGTTCCACCGTGAATTACCAATGTATCAATTGATTGGTGGCATTTCAGCGTCCTGAACTTTCTGGTCCATGGTCATGAAGTTCTCCAGAGCCAGAAGAAGAAATCTTCAAATAGAGACTGGTTTTGGCAGCTCTCTTGATTGCATTTGCAGTTTGTTTTGCTTGAGCTAGAATTAGAAAGCAAAAGACATTATGACTGTTCATAGCTATGACTAGACCAGACAAAAGCATCACCCCATCAATGTCTAATGCAGTTGCTAAGCAGCAGTTTGTGAGTTTGGGTTCCTGGTATTACATCCTATGTCTCTTGATATTCAAACACTGTGGCATTTCATCAAAATCCCTTAGGAACATTTAAAAAAAAACAAAAACCAGAACACTTATATAGAGGTTTGTTATGCAGTCTGACTGAACAAATGGAAAGAATGGGTGGATAATATTTCGTAGTATATGCTTTAAAAGTGTAGTAGTGATGACATAGTAGTTGCCTTTTGATGAATTAAAGTCTCAAGATTCAGAGTTTTCACTCATAAAATAAGTGACTGAAAGCTTGGTGGTTTGAATCCTTGGAGCGGAGTGAGCTCCTTCTGTTAGCCCCAGTTTCTGTCAGCCTAGCAGTTTGAAAACTTGCAAATGTGAATAGATCAATCGGTACTGCTTCTGCAGGAAAGTAACAGCATTCCATGCAGTCATGCTGGCCACATGACTTTGGAGGTATCTATGGGCAACGCCGGCTTTTTGGCTTAGAAATGGAGATGAGCACCATCCCCAGAGTCAGACATGACTAGACTTAATAAAACCTTTACCTTTTATTATCATTCTATAATAGCAAAGGAAGTAGTTAAATTATTAGTAGCTTGAAAGTGAAATGGGCCTTACATAAAATAAGTTAGTGACTTAGTGACAGAGGATGCCTCAGGTACATGAAAAAATGTAAGTTTATAAATTACGAGGGTGTTGCTGTTGTTGTTTTAGCCATCACACCACCCAATGCAGTTTCATTTGAATAACCAAGTTAAGCTGGATCAGTATGCAAAGGGACCTTATGAAATCTTTGAGACTACCTGAGAGAAGCATAAGCTTTTGTAGACTCAAGTCTACTTAATCCGATACATTTGATTTAGACTTCAGTCTATGAAAGCTTATGCCACTTGCTTTTTTCTCTGTTAGTGTCCTTAGAATATATTTGGGTCTTTCCTTCCTCGTTTCATTTCAGAACATCATATAAATCCCATGGCCATTGCTAAATCAGCCTATCCTCTCTTCCTTCCACCTACTCCTTATTAATCTCTTGCCTGAGGGAGAGTACAGGTTGAATATCTCCTGTCTAAAGTGCTTGGAACTACAAGTGTTACACATTTTGGATTTTTCTGTAGTTTGAATTTTTGTTTGCTTCGAAGTGTCCACTTTGGATGTTCTTTCCAAGTAACCTTGTTTAGAATCATGCTATGAATCTGCATTTTGTTTTCGTAATTTAATAGTATATCTGGTTCATGTCTCAGAAATCCCTGTTGTTCTCCTTTTGGAGTTCTCTTCTGGCAGAACTTTTATGTGTTTTGTGATGCCAAATTACATCTTCTATTTGGAGCTGTAGCAGAGATGCATACAAATGATTCTTCTCTTTCTTTCTGGTTTTTGAAGGGGAACTTTATTTCATGTCCACTGGACTGCCAAGTGCCACTGCACCAAATGGGGTAGTTTACAAAATCATTGACACTTCACGGTAAGAACCGAGACATTTTTGCGAGTGTTTGGATTCCTAAATGTAGTAGAGAAATAAACTTTAATAAGTGTTTGACTGGAAAGAAGGGGAAATGGAGATGCAATTTTCTTAGAAACTTTAAAGTCATGAAAAATGTTCTTTTTGAACATTAAATAGTTGAATATTTATTTTTCTGGTGCCCAGAAAAAAAGGGGCTGGATTTGATTGGCAAATGTCCAGTACTTTTTCAAAGTACTTTTTGCAAGTTTATGGTCACCTTGTTACTTTGGGAACATAAAATCATGAGTTAGAATCTCATTAATCCTGACTTGTCCACACAAACAAAAATCATGGATTCACCTCAGATCCAGCACTGGCTATCTACACAAGACATAGTAACTTCCAGTGAGTCCCCTGGTTTTCCGCCCTCAGCCTAACTTGGCTCAGCTTTAGGCAAAGTTATCCAGAGTTTTCAGGCAACTCTGGAGTATTCTTCGACTTTGTAGCCATCTAGATAACTGGATTGAGGTATTTTGGTCCAATCCACTATAAATAGGCACTTCTGCCACCATTTTTTTCCTTGTGTGGATCATCACAGGAAAAGGAGATGGATCATTCCCCAGTTCACCACTGCTACTCCCCATTAGTCCTTGAAGCCTGACTGTTGTAGTTGTGTCTCCTGAAGTCAGAATGGAGCACCTGTGCAATCAGCAAGAAGGAGGAGGCCACTCTATCCCCTTTTTGCTGTTTGCATGGTTGCCCCATTCTGATGTCAGTAGACATCGTCAGGTAGCAGCAGTGACATGGGAGCCATCATTGGAGCCATCATTCTCTTTGTGTGTTCATTATTTTTGCCAGGAGAGCACCGCCTGGGAAATGCCGTGTTGAACCCCTACCAGTAAAAGTGAAAAGCCGTCTCATAAAGTTTGTTCCAAAGGAAAGTGAGTACTGGAGATGTATATTAATGAAAATTCACACTATGGGTTCGAGGGGCCGAAACACATCAGAAATGTGTATTTCTAGTTTCAGAAGGGTGGAATTGCATTCAGTTGTTTGTTAATTCATCATGAAACACACACCTGAACCCATGGTTTGTTGTAAGCTTTAAGAGTTAGATTTTGAAAATCATGTCTTGTTGTGACATCCATAGCAATTACTTGTCCCTAACTTTTTTTTCAAGCTGTTGAATCAGAAATTGACAAAAAAAAAAAAAAGGATTTAAGAAAACCCTCCTAACCTGGTTGGTTAGTCATCTGCTGTGCAATTCTGAAAACAACAAACCACTCATATTGAAGCTACAAATACATCAATTAAATGATTTTCAAGTTTGATGTAAAGTGCTTATCTGAACATGCCCAGGTGTCAACATTTTTCACGAAGCATAGTTGGTTTATTTATTTAGTTATTTGTTTATTTCAAATATTTATATCCCTTCCTTCTCACCCCTGAGGGGAGAACTCAAGGCAGCTCACAACTAGCACTTATTATATACCAACAACAGTAGTAATAAAAACACAATTAGACATTTATTAAAACAGCAAAAGTTAAAACAGCCAATTAAAATAAGACTAATCCAAATCCAGAGTCCATTGTCCATCACATAAATAATTTCCAATTATTATTGCTGCATCTGCTGCTTGAATACCTGGTCCCATAACCAAGATTTAAGCTTTTTCCCAAAAGGATAGGAGAGAGGGGGCCGACCTGATATCGTTAGGGAGTGAGTTCCACAGATGGGGGGCCACCACCTAGAATACCTTGTCTCTTGTTTCTGCCAATCGCACTTACGAGGATGGCGGGACTGAGAGAAGGGCCTCCCCTGACGATCTTAACCTCCAAGTTGGTTCATAGAGGGAGATATGTTTGGACAAGTAAGCTGGATCAGAACTGTTTAGGGCCAGAACTTTGAATTGTGCTCAGTAGCAAACCGTCAGCCAGTGGAGCTGATGTAACAGGGTGGTTGTATGTTCCCTGTACCCCACTCCAGTAAACAATCTGGCTGCTTCCCGTTAGACTATTTGAAGCTTCCAAACAGTGTTCAGTAGCAACCCCACGTAGAGCATGTTGCAGTAATCTATTTGGGACTATTATATTTGAATAGTTATCTTTCTAATGCCCAATAAAATGTTGCTTATTCCAACCAGCGTAGTTTCTTTTAGAACAGCAGCTCTCAACCTGTGAGTCCCCAGACATTTTGGCCTTCAACTCCCAAAAATCCTAACAGCTGGGATTTCTGGGAGTTGTAGGCCAAAACACCTGAGGACCCACAGGTTGAGAACCACTGTTTTAGAAGAAATAACACTTTATTGTTGAAATATCCATTTCGATATATAGCTGGAATAAAGAGATCCCTATAGGTTGATTGCAACTGTGCTTTTAATACTGAGCCCTCCTTTAGGGTATGTGAACTCTGATAAAACATATATTAATCAATGACAAGCCACAGGAAATAGATCAAGTTGCTAGATTTCTGCCACTGAAAAAATGATAAAAGAAATTTTTATTCTAAGCTTGTTGCCTTCCCCATTAAAATAAATGAAATGAGAATATGCATTTTCCTCAGCCTCCTATGCATGGTTTTTGTGGGTTGCCTTAGCAACTCCACTCCTTTTAAGCACATTCCAATTACAAAAAAAGAATAGATAGCAAGAAATGAATGATTCCAGCCATCAATGAATGAGAGAGCAGTTGACATAATAAGGGAGTTGGCACGCTTTCAGAAGCTATAATGAGGCAATCTAATATTGTAATAAAGGCCAAAGCGCAAAAAAGGGGAGTGAGGGCAAAGTCTTTTGAGATGCTTTCTATAGAGCGGGTTGGTACTGGACATGTAATGAGAAATAATTAACAATTAAACCTTGAGAGAGAAATATCCCAGCTCCTGAAAAAATGGGCCAGCTTTTTTCTTTATGATGTTGGCATAGTAGTGCCATTTATTTGATTGTTGTGGGAAGCATCTGCATGCACCATTCCCTCAGATTTCAGAGTGGTTGCAGAGAGATCTTAGCAGGGGAAGTTTGTGCTCTCATTTGTGGGGTGATTCCACCAATATTGCAATGAGTGATGAAAAACATTAGCCTTTCTTAGTTTTGATCTGTCCCATAAGAGTCCTTTCTTGGTGAGTAGTGGTGTGGGACAGAGAAGGATGATGCAGTGTTGGCAATCATGATGATGGCGCCAGGCATATTATGGGTGGTGGTAAAAGGGGATGGAGACAAGGAGCTAGTGCTGTATCAACAATAACTGCTTCTGGTGCCTGATACTATTGGTTCTGACCCTATTCATTCCCAAACACAGGACTCTATCCTGTACTGGATTTTTTTTGGCAGAGGTCCTTGCATTATGAACTTTTTTTTCCTGTGTCAGGAGCAACTAGAGAACCTGCAAGTCACTTCTGGTGTGAGAGAATTGGCCGTCTGTAAGGACATTGCTCAGGGGATGCCCGGATGTATTACCATCCTGTGGGAGGCTTATCTCATGTCCCTGCATGGGAAGCTGGAGCTGACAGATGGGAGCTTACCCCACTCCCCTTTCGGTCAGCAGTCCTGCTGGGTTTAACCCATTGCACCTTCGGGGGCTCCACATCATGAGTTTAAGTAGCCTTACAAATCCCAAACCTGCCCCAAGAAATCACAGAACATCAAAGATTTTTTTTTTGGAGTTTTACTAAACTCTAGCCTGTGGAGTTTTACTAAACTCTAGCCTGCATGGCCAAAAGCCATGTTCGTTGTGGGATTCTACATACAGGTGTCAATGTATATGGTTTTAGTAGGTTAGTTGACAAATTCATAGAACATAGGGGTACATCTACACTGTAGACTTAATTCAGTTTGACACCACTTTAACTGCTATGGTTTGATGCTATGGAATCCTGGGATTTGTAGTTTGGTGATGCACCAGCATTCTGGCAGACAAAGCTGAAGACATTGTAAAATTAAAATTCCTATGATTGCTGAGCATTGAGTTACATCAAGGGGTGTTAAACTGCATTAATTCTACAGTTCAGAAACACCCATTTCTATATAATGGCAGTATAGTTGGCCTTTCATATCCATGGATTCTGTATCCATGGATTCTACCTTCCAAGCCTTGAAGACCTTTAAAAAAAATCCAAAAAGCAAAGCTTGATTCTACCATTTTATATAAGGGATACCACTTGACTATGCCATATATATATAATGAGATTTGAACATCCCCATACTTTGAGGTGGCCAGGTCTTGGAACCGCGGTGGATGCCAAGGGTTCACTATATATTGGCCTACTAATTCCTGTTAGAGTTGACCCATGAATCAGTTGTTGAACGGGAAGTACCTGCATAGGTAAACTTATCCAGTTATGGGTCTGCTCTAATGAGGACACAAATAGGATTCAGTGTATAATCTACAGCTTCAGATGCAGGATTTGTTCATATATTACTTGCTAAGGAGAAGAAGTTGAGGATGTAGGTGTCCTCTTTTTTGCTTGGCAGGCAATTGATTTGGGACTATGTATCCTTTGGTGTGCTGGGTTAAACCGCTGAACTGCTAAAACTTGTTGACCAGTCTCAGGTTTGAATCCAGGGAGCAGTGTGAGCTCCCACTGTCAACCCCAGCTTCTGCCAACCTAGCAGTTCGAAAACGTGCAAATGTGAGATCAATAGGTACCGCTATGGTGGGAAGGTAACAGTGCTCCATGCAGTCATGCTGGCCACATGACTTTGGAGATGTCTACGGACAATGCCGGCTCTTCGGCTTAGAAATGGACTTAATGTCAAGAGAAAACCTTTACCTTTACCTTTAGCATGGATTTTCTTTTTCTTATAGTTCCTGTGGTTTCCCTCCTCTATAGAGCTTATAGTGAAAACGCCAACACAGCGTCCTAAAGTGAAAGCCACAACCAGAGCCCCAACAAGGAGCAGAGCGACTGCAGAACCACCACGGGCCTCATCTCCAGATTGGTTGGAAGAACTCTTGACCCTTTTAAGAAATCAGGACAGAGCACAGATGACTACAGTCGCCCCTAAAACCCCAAAGCCCAGGAAAGGAGGAAGGACAGGGAGAAGAAGAGGGCAGAGAAGGAGAAACAGACCTACCAGTGTTCCCTCTCAGCCAAGGAATGGAGCCGTCCGACTTATGAACGGCAACACAAAAGGGAGAGACCGTGGGAGGGTTGAAATTTTTATCAATGGAGAGTGGGGCACTGTGTGTGATGACTTGTGGACCTCAAAAGCTGCTGCAGTTGTTTGCCGCCAGCTGGGCTATGCTTTTGTCATCCGAGCAACCAAGAAAGCGGAGTTTGGGGAGGGGCGTTCGCTTCCTATTCTCCTTGATGACGTCCAGTGCACCGGGCGCGAGAAGACCCTCTTGGATTGCAGTCATGCCAATGTCGGAAAGCACAATTGCTCCCACAAAGAGGATGCTGGAGTGATATGTAGCCATGAGGATGTGTTTGAAAGTGAACAGTAGAATGAATTGAAGCACAGGATGACACCTTGCCTTGTTCCTTCCTGTTCAAAGAAAACCCACTGTTGTTTGATATGAGTGTCATACTGAATTAACACATAGCAATTTAGGCATCTTAACATATGTGCATCAAAAGAACAAAATGGATATACTTTACCTGAAATGACTACACCTGTGGTCAATGTAAATTTGCCATTTTAGAAAAGAATACATAAATAATATCTTTTTTATTCATTTTCTATTAAAATAAGAGAGTGATCTGGTTGGAGTCCTTGGAATAAAAATGAAACACTGGGAAACGTTTTTCTGGTTTTATATTGCTGTGACTCTCTGCTTCAGTTTATATTTTGTTAGTATCCCATATTTTACAAAGAAGAGTAACACGAATGGAACAATTATGGAGAATGCAACAAATGTTTAACACATAGACTCATATTCTCCTGTTTGTGGGGTAGGAAGGTACTCACCAAAATCCTTGATGTGTCTGTTCAGAAACATGTCTTACTGAGTTCAGCAGTCATAAGATCGCAACCATTTATCTATCTCAATCTAACATATTTCGATGTTTTGTCGAAGGCTTTAATGGCCAGAATCACTGGGTTGTTTTGAATTTTCTGGGCTGTAAGGCAATGTTCTAGAAGCATTCTCCCCTGATGTTTCGCCTGCATCTATGGCAGGCATCCTCAGAGGTTGCAAGGTCTGTTGGAAATCAGGAAAATAGGGTTTATATATCTGTGTAATGTCCAGGGTGGGGAAAACCTCTTTTCTGTTTGCGGTAGATGTGACTGCTTCAATTGGCCACCTTGATTAGCATATAATGGCCTAGTAGTTTAAAGGTCTGGTTTCTTACTGCTTGGGGGAATCCTTTGTCAGGAGATGATTAGCTGTCCCTGATAGTTTCTTATCTGGAACTCCCCTGCTTTTGAGTGTTGATTTTTGTTTACTGTTATGACTTTAGAGTTTTTAAATACTGGCACCAGTATTAAATAGCAACATTCACACTTGCCTGAGTTTTTTTCTCCCACCCTGGACATTCCACAGATTTATAAACCCATTTTTCCTAGTTTCCAACAGACCTCACAACCTCTGAGGAGGTTTTTAAATTTAGAAATGCCACTTTTTCCACCCAGATGGATGCCAGATAGGAAGTAATTCAAGCCACTATAGGACATAGCAACATGCTGTAGTGGAAAAAGATATTTTATTCCTATGCTAGCAACAACAGTGAAGACTCCACATCAAGTAAATGGAGACAGTACTCACACTTTGAGTCTCACAATGGGGTCCCTGCCAACCCTACTTAGTGAGGTGGAGGACAGTTGAGACAAAATAGTAGTTGGTCTCAGTTCAGAGGGAAAAAGAAATGAAACTGTGCTGTCAAATGGAATGTACTCTATTTTCCTTTCTCCTTGGAGCCGAAAGCAGCCCCTTCACCATATGAATTGTGTTCCCATTGGTCAACAGCAACAGCCGAACTTAGGGCTTGATAGCTGCCAGAGAAAGATGTGGAGTGCAAAGGACTCTCATTCAAGAGACATAAGCAGATGTAAGAAACACATACCCTTATGTCACTAACAGGATGCTGCCCATCCCTAAAACTTGCATGGCTGTCTGTTGAACATTTCCACTTGGAAGAAGTGAGGAAATATTCTGAATGGGAAACTTAGGATGCATTTACACCGTGGCATTACTGCAACATGACACCATTACCTACTAAGGCTTGATGCTATGGAAATCATGGAAGTTGTAGTTTTACAGGGTCTTTCATTTTGCCTAAAAGGTGCTGATCCAAACTAGAACTCCCAAAATCCCAAAGCGTTTAACCCATGGTAGATACAGTACTGCATGAACTGTAGATGCAGAATTAGATACGGGCTACATCTCTCTCATTCGAAATGCTTTCAGCAGTGTTTTTTTAAGAGTTTTTTTTAGATATTTGCATGATAAAGAATGAGCTATCATGGAGATTACACCGAAGCCTAAAACGCACATTCAATTTTGTTTCATATACACATAATTGCAGAAGCATATGAGAAGCTCGGCCTGACATTGAACATTGAACAAACAAAAGTGCTCTTCCAGCAGTCACCAGCCAATCCCTCCCCAATGCCAGAAATACAGCTTAATAGTGTAACATTAGAAAATGTTGATCATTCTGCTACCTTGGCAGCCACCTCTCCACCAAAGTCAACATTGACACTGAAATAGAACACTGCCTGAGCTCTGTGAGTACACCTTTTTTCCGAATGAAGCATAGAGTGTTTGAGGACCAAGACATCCGTAGGAATACCAAGGTGCTTATTTGTAAAGCTATTGTCCTCCGAACCCTGCTATAGCGAGATGTGGACTGTCTACAGACATAACATGCAACTCCTGGAACGATTCCATCAGCACTGCCTCTGGAAAATCCTGAAAATCTCTTGGGAAGACAAGCGGGCAAATGTCAACGTGCTGGAAGAAGCAAAGACCACCAGCATTGAAGCGATGGTCCTCCACCATCAATTCCGCTGGACCAGCCACATTGTCCGGATGCCCAACCACTGTCTCCCAAAACAGTTGCTCTATTCTGAACTCAAGAACGGAAAATGGAATGGTAGAGGACAGGAAATGAGATTTAAAGATGGAATTAAAGCCAATCTTAAAAAGTCTGGCATAGACAGAGAACTGGGAAGCCCTGGTCCTTGAGTGCTCCAGCTGGAGATCAGCTGTGACCAGCAGTGCTGTAGAATTTGAAGAGGCACGAATGGAGGACGAAAGAGAGAAATGTGCCAAGAGGAAGGCGCCAATCTTGACCAGGACCGCCTTCCACCTGGAAACCAATGCCCTCACTGTGGGAGGAGATGCAGATCAAGAATAGGGCTCCACAGTCACCTACGAACCCACCGCCCATACACTGATCTTGGAAGACTATCCTACTCGGACAACGAGGGATCACCTAAGTAAGTAAATCAGAAGGTAACTCTATACACAATATTTTATATAGTTCTGGCTTGAAGTAAAATGTGCATACACTGAACCATCAGAGGGCAAAGGTGTCACTATTTCAGCCTCTGCCTCTCCACTTCCTCAGGTCATATTCTGTAGTTCTACAAATCAGCTAACCATGTAGCTGGCCAGCATTGTTAAATCAGTTTAATGCCACTTTATTGGCGATGGCTCGATTCTAAGGATTTCTAGGATTTGTGGGGATCAGAGAATTCTCTGCTAAAAGACCTAGCCCATTCCTTTGAACTCCAATTCCCAATGCATCTGGATAACAATCTCACTAGACTCTGCTCACTCTGGAAACTGAAATGCGATGAAAATGGCATAGACATGTACCGCAGGTACATCATTAAAGGACAATATTGTAACACAAACTAGTAAAAGCTCAGTAAAGAAAATCTAGGACACCCAGACTTCCTGAATGCATCACATAATTAAACTGATGTTATTCCTTGATTCCTCTCTTGTTGTGGCATCTTGGTATCAGATAACAATCTTACAAGACTTCCTTATTGAAGCTCACTCTGGAAATGGAAATAGTATGAATGATATATGTGTGTAGAGCAGGTATATCGAGGATCTTTTTTCATGTCAGGAGCAACTTAAGAAACTACAAGTTGCTTCTGGTATGAGAGAATTAGCCATCTGCAAGGACGTTTCCCAGGGGATGCCCAGATGTTTGATGATTTACAATCCTTGTGGGAGGCTTCTCTTATGACTCTGCATGGGGAGCTGGAGCTGACAGATGGAGCTCAACCTGCTCTCCCCGGATTCATACCGCTGACCTATCGATCAGCAGTCCTGCCGGCACAAGGGTTTAACTCATTGCACCACCGAGGGCTCTTAGAGGATAAGCCAATCTAATCTATGCACAAAAATGTTGCCCAATAGGCAGGGAGAGAGGAACAAAGAGAAATTGCAGTCAAAATTAGATTAGCATGACTTTCCCCCTAGTAAATTTGCTTCCTCCTGAACACATACTTTCCAACCAATGGTTTTTACTGTGTTGTTGATTAGAAACACTATTAGCTAGAGGAAAGAACACGAGTGACTAAGAAAAGAGGAAATCCAGACTCAAAATTGTCAAGGCTATTACCTTTTGACCTTATCATGCCAAAGAAGGAAAGGGGGGACATCAAAACATAAAGCCCATGTTGGCTTAAAGCTCCACATATCCTGAATCGTTGCTGGTCACGGAAGCTCTGTGTGCCAAGTAGTTTTGCTGGTCACGGAAGCTCTGTGTGCCAATTCCATCTTTAGTGGAGTTCAGAGTGCTCCTTGATTGCAGGTAAATTATAAATCCCATTGCCTATCACCCCAAAATTTCCAGGCCAATTCCCCTCAAAACCCACCAGTATTCAAAGTTGGGCATATCAGGTATGCATGGCAAGTTTGGTCCAGAGTCATTGTTTTTTGGGTTCATAGTGTGCTCTGGATGTAGGTAGACTACAACTCCTTTAAATCCCTCCGAAGACCTCCAGTAGTTTTTGTTGGTCATGGGGATTCCATGTGCCAAGTTAGTTCCAGGTCCATCATTGGTGGAGTTCAGAGTGCTCTTAGATTGCAGGTGAACTATACATCCCAGTACCTACAACTCCTATAAATCATGGTGAATTCTCCTCAAACCTCTCTAGTATGTTCAGTTTCTGAACAATTCCTCTGTTTGCTGTGTGTCATATAAAATAATAGGAAAGGGTTATAGGAGAGGCAGTGGGCGGGGTCATGCAAATTCCACACCGATGGAGAGAGTAAGAAACACTGGGATGTCTGTGGTGGAGGAAAAACAGAAAATCTTCACTTGGGCGTTGGGCAGGATTGTGTTGGTGGAGGACATTGGCAGGGCTCTTGGACATGTTCATGACACTCACTATAACCTACAATGTCATTGGGGGGAGGGCTATTGCTATCTCTTGAGTTGTGGGAGCTATAGCTATTTGTGGAAGTGGGATCCTGTCTGTGTAATCAGGCATCCCAGCCACACACATACATATTTTCATTTTTATTGTGTGTATTAGCTGTCCCCTGCCACGCGTTGCTGTGGCCCAGTCTGGTGATCTGGAAAATAAAGTAATGAGAAAGTGTTGGTTTCTAATATATGTAATTCCTTTATGCTTGTGAGTAAACAGTATTTCTTGTTTCTTTGTCAGTGTTGATGTGGAGAGTGTCTGGTTTGCCTACTCTGGAATATGCAACATATCATAGTCCTTCTTTAAGGGTCTCTTTCAAATCTATGATACTATATCTGTGTGTGTGAGAGAGAGAATCATATCTATCTATCTATCTATGACTGGATGGCTCTTTGTCAGGAGGGCTC